GACTTTTTTTAATGTATGTATATATATATATATATATTATTTTTTTTTATTTTTATTTTATTTTATTTAGTTTTTTTTATGAAAAGACAAAATTGATTGATAAAAAAGAGAGGAGACAAATGTTTTAGTGAGTGGGTACAAAGAGCCTACTCACAGGGATTACAAACGTATTCCAAAAAAAAAAAAAACAAGTCCTCATCATTGTGGGTGTATTTGGTGGATCTACTGCTTCCCCTTCCCCTAGATCTAGGGAAGGAGTCTAGCAACATACTGATATGTGGGCTTCCTCCTGAAACAATGATACAATTATCCTGAGAGTTATTGAGAACGGACATTCCTTTCTTCCTCCTCTTAGATTTGTAAACCTGTTAATCATCTGTCATCTGTCAGAGGACCTGTTAATCATCTGTCAGAGGTAGTCCCGTGTGAACAATAGGTAGATCGTCGATGGAGGTAAACTGCTGATCTGACTTAGCCTGCAACACATTTTGATCCTGACACTCATCCATAACTTGAGTACCCTCTTCTCTCGCAATAGGTGGTTTCAAGCTACTTCAGCTAGCATGAACTACAACAAAATTCGTAGAATTTGTAATCAGAGGAAGAGCTGACTCAACAACAGTAGGTGGAAGCTGCTGGTCTGGTTGGTGAGTGGTAGCCTTATGAGTCAAATTCTCATTCAACATTTCTGGAAGATTAACAGTGTCTGCTATATTTTCCTCCACATGAATGATACTGTTAGGACCTGTCCATCTCAAATGTGGGTGAATCCTGAAGCATTTGACAGGGGTGTGCCCAAACAATTTACAGTGATTGCAGAAGTAGGGTCTTTGTTCTGCTATAATTGGTTGTCAATACCCATTGTGGGCAGTATCAAGCCATATTTTGTCCACATTAGAGAGTGATATGCCTTTCAAAAAATCAATAAAAATTCTTGCAAACGAAGACCTGGTTAGATTGAAGGTGGGTGTATCCAATTTCATTGGTCTCCCTAGTGTAGCTCCAATAGAGTAGAGGACTTGGTGGTTGAACTAGTGCAACTTTAGGCCTGGTAGTTTAAACCAGATTGAAACTATAAGTTCTTCTTGACTAGGGTCAAATTCAGGAGGACACTTAAGCAGTTTCATATGTTTTCTCTCTATTGGTATAAAATTTTTGAAAAATATTTTGGCATAGTCTTCCACTTTAGATAATTGTATCATCACACGCCTCTCATCAAAGAAACCAACCTTCCAATGTCTCAATAGTTTGAGATCTTCAAAAGCCTTTCGAACGATTTCTATTTTGGGATGTTTCGATTGGAACTTTCCAATGAGAGTGAATTTAAACTTGTTTGCCAGGTTGAAAACTTCAGCATCAGAGAAGAATAGAGTTAGTTTGCCACTCTACCTACCCGTCTTCTTGATAAGGTTGCAGACCTCCTGGTCTTCAAATGATTCATTGTAAACCTGAGGGAAAACCTGATCTGATCCAATAGAGCCAACCATATCAACAAAAGAAGCCTTCTCAAGGTTTAAAACTGTAGTATTCGGTGGTTGAGAAGGAGCAGTAGCCATGGAAGGGAGCAGCTGAATAGTGGCAAGCTCCTGGATTTGAGTTGTGATTTCAACTGGAGCTTTTTGCTGCTCGATACGCCGCAAAGGGATGAAGCGACACGTCATAGGAAGGATCACAACAGTGTGCAAGCTGCAGTTCCGCCGCTACCTTCCCAGTGAGCTCGTGAAATGATCCAGAAAATGACGCGATCGAACGAACGATACCGAAGAGCGAACGAGCAAGAGGCTGGGCCCGGCGATGCAATCCCCCACCATTCTTCTTCGAGCAGGAGTCTGAGTCTCCGAATCGCTGCGGCTACCCGCATCGCCATGGAGTCGCGACAGGAGGAGTGAGCCCTAGCAAAGGCGAGATAATGCATCGTGTACGTACTTTCAACCTAACTAGACCCTCGGTTGCCAGAATACTTGTGGAAAAGGATATTATTTTACTTGATGTTACTGAAGTTTGGCTGGGCACAACCCATAATGATTATTGACAACAAATCGTCATGGAGCACAGCCCCCCATATTGTACCCACTGTAAGATGGTTGGTCATGTCTCTTGATAAATACCAGAAGTTTCATCCAAATTTGAAATCTAAGGTTTAAGTTTAAGTGAATAAGGATGGGTTAAGGATGGGTTTAACCCCACTGCTTTGGACATTTTAGTTCCACCTGGGGATGATACTATCAAATAGAAGTCTGTTGCCCTTGAGAACCCCCTCCCAATGACACTGTTGTTATTGTTACTATGAGTGATGTGATGCTGACACCTTAAAACCCCATAAAAAACAATACTGATGGACTATTACCTACAAATGATAGTGTTCAGACTGATAATCAGGAGAGCCTCGTAGATCCACTTCTTCAGGAAGTATCCGGTGTAGAGGCATCTCATACTTTACATATATTAGAACCTATTCTGGGTACTACGGTTGGTATTCCTTCTGCTTCAGCTCAACCACCCCATCATACTGATTCTTCGAAAGAGGAATGACAGGTTTATTCCAGGAGAAGAAGAAGAATGGAGTCTGACTCCAGCTTGGGAACATATTGGATGATAAATTGGTTACTACTGGCAATGACAATCATTTTACCAGCTTATTTGCTTGCTCCTTTACTAGAACTAGAGGCAGAGGCAAGACTAAATCGGGTCGCTCTCTAGCCACATGATACTATGTATTTCGGCACTGTTAGACTTTTTATTTAAGTATATAATGCATTTTTCTGTTTTTTCTAGTTTTGGAACCATTTGTGGTTTTTGTGTGGGCAGGGTGCCATGCTTGGGCCCTCCCACATTGTATCTGTATCTTTCTCATATATTTATATATATTGGAAGAGCCCAAGGGCATTATATTAATACGAAAAAGATACAGAAAAGTTGTATGAGAGAGCCTAAAAGAAAACCCAACTCACACAATACAACGCACACAAAACCCAAATAAAGCAAAGATACATAAAAGTAAAAAACCAAAAAGCCACAAAATGGCTCAAAAGTGCTACGGTAGTTCACTTTAGTCCTCCCTCTGCCTCTAGTCCTTGGAAGTGAGCCGGCTAACAAATTGGAAAGGTGAGTACCATTGCCTGTAGTAACTAAAGTATCATCCATCAGATTACTAAGCTTAAGTAGGTCTCCATTCTTTTTCTTCCTCCTGAATGTGTAAACCTGTCATTCGTCATCTGATGATTGACTCATCTGATCAGTAGATTCTAATGTTGGCCAGACAGGTGTAGGCTGTTGCACATCACGATCCCCATGAGCCTGAGTAACATTAACAGCTTGCTCAACCTGATGAGACGGTAGTGAAGCAGTAGAAGTATTGCCACCTGTATTATGGGTAATATTTAAGGCAGGTGGGGTCTGAAGACTCACCCTCTCCCCCATGATAGGAGGTTTCAAAGAAAGGGGAGCTACAACTGGGATAGAAAGGTTGTCATATTGCCTGCGAGAATAGTGAAGTCATCTAGGGTATTCTTTTGATGATCAATAGTGTCAATAACGAGGAGATGAAATCGTTGCCTCTGGCGGAGCACTATATTTTTTTGGTCTGAGTTGGGGGTGTAGATTGTGACATTGAGAACTAGAGTGACCGAACATACGACAATTTGAACAATAAGAGGGAAAAAACTCAATCACTACCTTTTGCCAATATCCATGATACTGTGTGCCCAACCAAATTTCCTCAGAGGTGGGTGAAATGATGTCTCTTTCGACAAGTACTCTAGCTTCAGATGGACGGGAAAAATTAAAAGTAGGAATGTCTAGTAGGAATGTCTGTTAAATTAAAAGTAGGAATGTCTGTTTTGAGTGACTTACCATAAGCTGAGATAATAGAATACAACACTTTTTGAGTAAAATAATGAAATTTTATACCAGAGAGACATCCAAACCGGAATGATTGGTGGTTTTGTTCGTGGGTCAAAATCCACAGATCATTTTAGAATCTTTATTTCTCTGTTATCAATTCAGATTTATCCTTCGAGCAAATAAGCGCGTGTAATCCTCTTCATTATTTAATTGTATAAGAATGTGTCTTCCATCTAACAGTCCAATTTTTCACTCCCTAAGAAGGTGCATAAGCTTAATTTTTTTACGAATCAGCTCCATTTTGGGATGGTCATACAAAAATTTTCTGACTAAATTCATTCGACAGGAGGAAGCAAGTTGAATACCTTCAGCTTCTGTAAAAAAGATGACAAACTTCCCATTTTTTCTGTCAGGTTTCTTTATGTCCTCCGCCCACTCAAATAAAGAGCAAGATTTAGGTGTATCTGAGGCGTGGACACCCGCAAGTGCAGCGACATAAGATCTGTCGGAAGCCATGGAGGTGCGGCGTAGCAGAGCAGAGAGTGGAAACCCGAAACAAAGAGCAGGAGCGGAAGCCCCTGTGATCTTAGATCAAGCAGGAAAGAGCGGTAAAGCCCCTGCGTTCAGCTCGAGCTCGAGGACGACACAGCCGTCCCAGCCCGACGCACGAGCAAAGACGCAGAGACGCAGAGCCGAAATGAAGCCGACGTGCGGGCAGAGACGCACGAGCAGAAACGAAACCGAAACAGGGAGCAGGAGCGGCGAAGCCCATGCGATCAGTTCGGGCTCGAGGACGAGCAGTTGCGCCGCACGAGCAGAGACGCACGAGCAAAAACGAAGCCGACGTGCGACGTCGAGAGAGGTTAGATCGAAGAGAAGCTACTCAACCAGGGATCGCCATGGCGAAACCACGCACGCGCACGCACGCACACACGCGCGCACGCACGCGCGCGCGCACACACACACACA